TTTTTTTTTTTTTTTTTTTTTTTTTTTTTTTTTTTTAAGAAATGTGTTTATGTTAAGCTTTAGTTGACTAAATCTGCTCTCTTGTGGGATTGTTTTTAGGTTCAGAAGTTACAAAACATAATTTCAAGTAGAGCTACACAGTATAATCATGATATGAAGAGGAAAGAGAGAGAATACAATAAATTAAAGGAACGCTTACATCAATTGGTCATGAACAAAAAGGACAAAAAAATAGGTAAGTAGAGTGCTATGGCAAATAAGTAAATTTTGTATGATGTTATGTTCATATCCCTTTTCTTCAGTGCTGAAGTACCCAGTGGAACATTAAATATATTGTGAAATTTTTGTTAGATGAAATGTGTTGACTGATGTCATTGGAAAGGAAGTCCTACTCTAATTTTTTTTATCCCTCCTGCCACCCTCCAAAACACTCTCAGCTGTTTGCCATCTATAGCATGTCATATTTTAGTGAGCTGGTTAATTTGCTGAGCCAGAAGACAACTAACTATTCATGTTGTGGCTGAGTTGGTTTTGCTTTTCTGAAACCAACAAGTAAAGTTGCAAGTAAAACAGACCACATTGGGACGCTGTATCAGGAACACCTATTTTGGCAACAGAAGGTAATTTAGTATCTGCACAGTAATCTCTGGAAGCCTCACACGTAAGTGAACAAAACTTTTTACGTGTTTTTTACTCAAATTAGTTAATACTAATTGAAATATCAGTGAGGTCAAAATAATGAGATCTTAAGTCTATTTCCCGTTTCCTTGAGAGCTAATGAGAATTGAGCTTGAACTACTGTTCTGACGTCATATTTGAAATAATGTATACACAATTTACATAAAAGCTGGAACAGAGGGTGAGGATATTCTTAAGAAGTGTATAAAATTTGTAAGATAGAATAACATCCCCACCCTGGCTTTCCAAACACAATTTTTTTTCTATCCTTGTTTATTTTACTCTTGCTTTGTTAAGCAGAGCAGCATGGTCTCATTTTGGTCTTAAGACTGAGGGGGATACTTGGGTGATGCAGTCTTTTTGACAGTAATTACATCAAAAGGTAAAAGAAGTGTCATCTGAATATGTGTGTAATTGCACGTTGTTTCATGCTTTGAAATCTCCTTTTCATTTGTAGCTATGGAAGTTCTAAATTATGTTGGTAGAGCTGATGGGAAGAGAGGTGCATGGAGGACTGATAAGACGGAAGCCAGGTGAAATTGTAGTTGTTTTAGAACAGCATTAATTGAAAGTATTTGTTATGTTGTCACCTTGTTACTGTCACATTTCTGCTTCCAGAAATGAAGAGCAAATGTACAAAGTTCTGCTAAATGACTATGAGCAACGCCAAAAACAACTTTTATTGGAAAATGCTGAGCTGAAAAAAGTTCTTCAGCAAATGAAGAAAGAGATTATTTCACTTCTTCCACCACAGAAACAAAAACCTAAAGAAAGGTCTGAAGATGGGCCAGTAAGTATTCTTCTGTTAAGCTTAAGTCTTTGATAGTTTGCAATGCTGGAGCCATCTGATTATTAAAATACTTCTTGGAAGGCTTGCAATGGAAGGACCTGGAAAAATCTTTTCAGTATATATGGGTTTTACTTTTCTTTGGTAAAACAAATCTATATGTGTATTTAAATATATATTTTTTGAATGGTAAGATGGCTTGCAGCAGGCTTTGTTTCTATTTCTGCAGGTACTTTCAGACTTGGAGGAGGACACTGGAGAGTTAAATAAAGAGAATATGTGGGAACTGTCATGTGAAACTGTGCGAGAGCAGCTTACCAACAGCATTAGAAAACAATGGAGAATGTTGAAAAATCATGTTGAAAAGCTGGATAACCAAGGTGATGTTTAACTCTTACACATACACATAAAGTGCTGCAGATAATTCCATGTGGTGTCGTGCTCTTTGGACTTATGTTACTGTATGTCTAATCTAAGTGGAAGCTGAAATGGAAAGGACTGTGACCTGGTAGACTTCCTGAAAAGACTTGTGTTTTTCCTTTTCTTTGTGAGTTTAAATTGTGGGAAGTTAGGAAAGCAGTCACCTTAGCAATCATCTTTTATCCTGAGAACAGACACACTGTAGTTTGTCAGAGTAAACAGCTTTCTTCAGAAAGAATTTATTTTTCTTTTGGAAGTACATGCTCTGTAATATGCAGGTCACTCCAAAAGTAACGCTCTCTATTTCCATGGGAACTATAACAGATACAAAGATCACAATAGCACTATTTAATAGAGTAAATTCTGAACTGCATAATGGCATTTTTTTCAACGTAGTCGCCATCATTAGCTGTGTGCTTTTGTCGGCAGTGAACAAGAGCCTGTTGTCATGCTTACAAAAAAGAACAACAAAATCTGCGTTAGCGGAGGTGACATGCTGTTATCGCTGCTGAAGCACACCACACACCACCTTGCTTTGCTCACATCCACTGTGTTTGGTCTCCGTGAACATTTAGCAAGCTTTTAATTTTCTGCATGGAGGAATTCAGTGACACACCTTTGCTTCGTATGCATTTCCATGTCAGATGCCGTTACTGCCTTTCCGCTGCCATCTGTTACATGGCAACAAAATGTAATTGAATGCTGGTGGGAAAGTTCAGCTCTACTGCCATACCACCATTGTCTGCCTCTGATGTCTTAGGCCAACTTAAACAGGAAACATTATTTTCAGAGCATCCTTTGTAAATGCTGGTTGTATTTCCCCATTTGTCTGAGCTGTTCAAGTAATTGCAGATATTCAGTTTCTTTCAAATTGTGATATGTGATACATAGATCCTTAGAGTTTGAGCTTGTCGCAGCCGTATCTACTGCTTCTGCTGGCATTCTAAAATGAACTAGTTGATGGTATGGTGCTGGGCTCTCCTCGTTTCCAGCTGTTAAACAGCATTAAAAGACAGCTAAAAATATATAAAATTCTTTCCTAGTATTATTTTCCAGTGTAAGCAAATGCTGCTGCTACAACAAGGATGTTTGCAGTCAGGAATAAGAGTGAGAAGGTCATGAATGTAGTTGCAAATAAAAGAGCAGGTGGTCTCTGGTATAGACATATTCTCATAGAAAGGATTTTAAGATCACTTATTCTGAGTAGTACTTGACTCAGTATACTAACCAAAAAATAAAATAATTGCGAGCATCAGGAGAAAAGATTCAAGTATTTGCAGTTTTCTTGGAGTCACTTTTTTTTTTTTTTTTTTCATTTTTGAATTTATAGAGACGACCATGTTCTTAGTGTTTAAATACTGTCATCAGGGGATCAAAACTTGGCACATTACAAATGCTGTGGTAGTTGTATCTTTGTACAACCACACTGTACCTCACACATTTTATTCCTCTGTGATTCATTCCCTTTCTGGGTTAAAAATGTGCACACAGTGTTCCAACTGTTAGCTCTGTTTCTCCTTCATAGAGCATGAGGAAAAAATCTTTCCTTTTTTATCTATGATATATATAGTTACTGCCATACTCTTATGAACATACAGGCCCTTCAGTAGTGGGCTCAGAATAGGCTAACGATGTACCGCTGAAAGGAAATCTTAATTTGTCTTGATTTTCTTTTAAAGAAATGTCGAACCAAGTTGTGGTGGCTTTTTTTTTTTTGGTTAGTTATGTTTTTTGTTTGTTTTTTTTGGTGGTTTGATTTTTTTATTATTTTTTTTTTAATTTTTTTTATGCAATGCTGTTGCAGCGCGGACTTGTGCTTTACCTGAAGAAATGTAAAATCTGAGGCAACATTGTAACATTCAGCTCAGGAAAAACAACAGTAGTGCTTAATTATGTGTGTAGCACCAGTTCTGGATCGGTTGTCCTGATAATAGTAATTTTGAGTGCATGGTTAATGTGTCTTTTGGAATGAAACTATTACAGTTTGAAAATCTTTGCTATTGCTTTGAGTCCTAAGTGTTGCGAAGAATGATTTCTAAATAACTTTTTTCCCATTTTTCCCCCTCCCTTAGTGTCACGTGTGCATTCAGGAGCTTTGAATGACAAAGATGTAATCTCAAGGGAAGACCATGAGCTGGAAACTGAAAAACTAGAGTTAGAACTTCAGCAATGTAAAGAAATGATCAAAACACAGCAACAACTTCTACAGGTAGCAGGCTTTAAATTTTGTTATTTTCAAGATCTTTGAATTATTATTATTTTTAATGTCACTTATTGCTCACCTCTGAGTTTTTCTCCTTTTATTGACAGTGCTTTTTAAATAGGATGTCTTGGTGATTGGTCTAAGTGGGCTGTTCAGTTGATTAGTAATTTAATGAATTTGTAACCCTGGTAGGAGAAATTCTGGGAGAAGTTAATAGACAGGAAGGCTGATGAGGCCAGAGGTGTTTTGCTAGCTGCTTGAAACTCTGCCCTTACCAACTGTGTTGCTCATTTATCAAACTTCAACTGTTTTTTGATGTAACTTAAATCTGTGGAAATTCTAAACAACTTAATAGTCACTCCAAAATTATTGTTTCTGTTTTTATATCTACAGCAACAGCTTATGTCTCCATGTGATGATGACACCACTCTGTTACTACAGGACTGCTATCTTCTGGAAGAAAGAGAGCGTCTTCAGGAAGAATGGAGACTATTTCAAGAACAAAAAAAGAATTTTGAGAAGGAACGAAAAAGTTTTACAGAAGCTGCTATTAGATTAGGACTAGAGGTATTAGAAAAGTGGAAAGGTATTAGAAAAGGAACTCCTATGGAAGAGAGTATAATAATAACTCTAATACACACTAAAAACTGCCTGATACACATTGTCTGCTTATATCTCTATACAGAGAGCTTGTTCTCGTACTGTGTAAAACAGCTCTGGTCATTGCAGCAGATCATTCAGCTTAAAACAAACAAAACAACAAACATCACATTATGTGTATTGGAATATGAATTTGCTGCAACTAGGTGAATCATTTTTCTTGCAGCTTTGGAAATATCTAGGTACTTCTGAAAGATCTGTCTGCTTATTCATTAAATCCTTCATTAGAGGCTGTTTCAATTTAGCTTTCTAAGACAGCAAGGCTTATGCAAATCACTGTCAGATTTGGCTGCAGCACTGAATTCTCAGAGTCTAGATTTTCATGGAAAGCAGTGTTGCAGAAAGCCAAAATATATCTTTGCCTTAGGGCCATTTTGTGTTCTTGTAGTTAATCTGGCTAGTAAACAGACTTAGGGAGGGAATTGGGTTGGGTATTTCTCTAAATGTGCTCTAGCACATATCTTTTTGTTGGCCAATAGTTAGGATCAAAACATGAAGACTACAAATTTAGCAGGGAGGAACGTGAAAGGTCAAGAACATAGGAATATTCTGAGTTTTATTGAGGCACTGGTACAACAGTAGTTCACACAGTGACAAATATTGACTCAGGCCATTACATATGTAATCATGCATTCTTCAACTTTTTCATTTTCTTTTACTTATATTTTATTGAATTCTTTAATTTAATGTGATCTTGAATTTAGCTTTGTAATTTTTGATGGATAATAAATGTTTGTTCTGAAATACTTAAGACCATATTACAACATAAATGTAGTTACCTGTGCTTTTGAATATTAAAATACTTAAATTTGAAATAAGTAAAGAGAAAGTTGAAGCAATACTGCAAGCCTTCATCATAGAGTGATTGGAAAAGGAAACATCACCTTTCTTTCTGCTCAGTTGTTTTCATGGAAGTGATCAGTGCTATTTTCAATGTCACTTGTATTTGTTTATGAGAAAGTTGAGGACTAAGATTGAAGCAGTAATCCTTATTAGCAACTGCCTAGAAATTAGAGGTATCTCCATGAGTTAGTGCAAGACTTGGGGGGCAAGGGGGAGCACAGGAGACAGTGGTAGGACACTGTGCCACTGGAGTGGAGAACAGTGAAATGAAAGGATTATTCAGACCTCTGAAACAAACCATGGGGTTTGGCTTGTAAATAAATACTTCCTCAGCTAATCCTTGCTGGAATCAAAAGCTTGCTTATATGACTGTAACTCTTTGTTTAACTGTTGGCTCACCTTAGTTGCATGGATATTCCATAACTTTTTTTTTTTTTTTATATGGAATAACGTAAATTTAATGTGGACTAAGCTTGTTTGTGTGGTCGTAACTGTGAACAGTCATTTCTTTTCCTAGAGAAAAGCATTTGAAGAAGATAGAGGAGCATGGTTGAAGCAACAGTTCTTAAGTATGTCTACCGATTACAAGCACTCTGAAAATGTGACAACTCCAAGTGCCTTCATAGGAAGCAAGTATTTGGTTCAAATTATGTTACTATAATATGCTTTTTCCTTCTTTTACCTGTAAGATGGTTAGGATATAATTCATTTCCATAGTAGAAAAAAATCTGTATTTTTAGGAACAGATCTTTTGCCTTGTTGCCCATGAAGAATGAGTTGATTTTAATGATCTTGAGCAACTTGTGAGATTTAAGCTGTGTACTAAAGCTACTGATTTATACTTTTTTCAAATTCTGGTGTTTCTGGCTATGTTTATTATTATTACAGTCATGCTGTAAGTTGGGAGGAAAGGTGGTTTTTTTGTTGTTGTTTGTTTGTCCTTTCTTTTTTGATAGAAGACTTAAATCTAATCCTTCAAATGTTTTCAACTTGAGTGTCATCTAACTGATTTATGTATGCCTTCCAGCTTCTGACCAAGACAATCGGCTAGTGAACTCAATGTCTCAGCAGAGAAAACCTCACTGTATGGTGAGTGGTCCTGTTTCAGCTGAATCCTGCCAGACTTCCCAGTGTATTTCACATAACAGGTATCTCAAATGATGTTGTGGATGGTTTTTGTGTTTTTTTGTTTTTCATGGTGCTGAACTCTATGTAGAGCAGTGAAATTGTGATAACTTACAGAATGATCTTATCTAGGTCTTGTGATTGATATGTAGAAGAATATGTTAAGCATCATATCATAACTGTATTGTGCTTCTCTCTGAAGTGTAATTTGTAACTGAATGTGCAGTTATTTACACTGTAACTTCATCTTTTTATCAGTTTCAATGCTGCATTAAAAAAACCTGCTGTTGACACCGAGCCAAATCAGTGGGAGGAAAGTGAGAAGGAAGAAACTGAGTAATGCACAGTCCCAGGAAGACTCTGAAGCTGGCACTCTGCTATGTAGAAACTTGCACATAGAACAACTGCCTTAGACTTCCTAGGGTTGCCTGCTGTTTTGTTAGAGATGTTCATAAACTTACTGTTCTGAAGTGTAACAGGATGCTGTGAGTTTGATCATTCTTCTGAAGGGTTATGTGGTAGGCTGAGCTGTGATGTGTATGTATGTGTGTGCACATGGCTTTTAATTTTTATAGACCATTTCTTGCCTCTTTTTTTCTTGCAGCTCTTGAAAGATGCTTATTTAAAAGTATATTAAAGCTTTGGTATTTTTCTAGTAACAGAAGCTGTGATTCTGTGAATGAAGCTATGGTCTGAAACTTTGGCTGTAATGAAATATTGGATCGTAATGTTTTTTTTCATCACAGACAGAGATAGCACTTTTAGGAATGGTTTAATTATTGGAAACACTCATTATGAGAAACATCTCAAGCATAACTGGCATTAAAACTTCTTTTGCCTCAACTTGAATGTACAGTATACTGTAGATTTTTAACAAAACAAGTTCTATATTTATTAATTTGTGTGATTTGAAAATACCTCTTTGATATTTCAGATGACCTAAAGCGCGAAATCTTTATATATTTGTAAATAGACAAAATGATTATGCTGAGAAACCATGGAATGAAATGCATACATCCATAATATTATTTTACGTGGTATTTTAAATTGTTTTATAGTGATACTCTGTTTACAGATGCATTAGGACGTTCAATGGTTCATCCAGGAATAAAATTATTTCAAATGTTAAAAATAAAAGTGTACGTCTGTTTTAAGAAACTGGTTCTGTGATTTATGAATGCAAATTTTTCTAAATTACCATGGTAGTAGGGCCAAGGTTCACCGTGTGTTTGATGCTGGTTTTGTTTTGCTTATTTTTCATTTTAGTGGGCTCCAGAATTTTTGGTGTAGCTTTAGGGAAACCTGTTTTGTTTATAACCTTCTAAAAACAGCCGTGTACGGATGAGATGTCTCCTTCCCTAGTCAATTCATGTACTTCTCCTTGTCCAGTACGTGTCAATCTCTTCTGTTTTGGTTGCTCAAGCATTTGTTAATGTGTGAGTACAGCTCTGGCCCTAGTCACATTAAGCTTTTGGAATGTGCCTAAGAAACTTCTGCACTTCTTCAGGTCAGTGGAAGGAAATTAACTCTGAAACCTAGAATACTTCACTGATATTGTGTTGCTGCTCTGCTCTTAATCCACAACTGGATGTAATAGATTGAGCGGGATACTGGAAAAAATAGCAGTAGAATAACAAGAAAGGGAAACTGGAATTCTCCAAGGAGCTATGGTAGGAAGTTTTGGAGTTTTTGCTGATTAGCTCAGTGTGTTGAGCTTGATTTGAAATAGTAGTCAGTGCAAACTGCAGGGTATACTTGCTGTGCAAGAAGTACTCCACATCCATAAAGAAGCAGAACTGCATATACTGATCTTGTTGGTTAGCACTTTTTCTGCATAGGCAACCAGATATGGAAAACAATACAAATATCATCCCATTGTATTTATTTTTAAAAAGGCTATTTTAAAATGTATTTCTCCAGTTCTCTTTCATTAAATAAGTGATCATTACTCGTAAGTTCTGCTGAGCTTACGCCTTCCGCGCAGTACTGGACAGAACTTGCATAAATATTAGTCATGAAAGAATAAAAACCTGTGTCTAAAATTAGACATTAGCTGAAAAATTTAAAATACATATTGATAACAGCATGAAGCTGTGTAAAGGCAGGTACAGGCTGAGTATGAGGAGAAGGTGCCTCACCAGAAAGGAAGTTGGGTGCTGGAACAGGCTTCCTGGGGCACTGGTCATAACATCAACTGTTGGAGTTCAAGTAGTATTTGAACAGTGCTCTCAGACAACAGTTTGAGTTTTGGTAATCCTGTGATGAGGCAGGAGATGGGCTCAATCCTTGTGAATCTCTTCCAACTCACAATTTTCTGTGATTTGAAGTGAGAGAACATAATTTACTTGCAAGATTCTTATTTTGAAACCAGTTTACTCAAGATCTGTAAATCCGTAGTTGACACATGCCACTGTGAGTTGAGGATGCCACTAGGGGCTGCTGCTGTCCTGAGGTTATTGCTTTCTAATGTTTTCTGGAGGTACTTAAACATGTTCTTGCTGCATGCTTGGACTATTTTACAAAGCAATTTTTCTCAATGATCACTTTTAGGATGATAATTTTGAAGAGCAAAGTAATATATTAACTTATTTAATCTGTTGTGCCTATTGAATGATTAGGAAACTCGTTATATTGTACTAACTTTTTTTTTTTTTCTCTCTGTGACTCATATCATAGAAGTGGAAATTTAATTGAATGTTTGTATGGTAGAATCAAACTGTGCTAGAAGTATGTATGCAGTTGAGTCCTGAGCTAGCCTCATGGGCCTGGGTACAGGGTCAGTTCCTTCTCTGTAAAGAAGGAGAGCACTGCCTAGAGTTTTTGGATTACTCTGTGCAGTGATGAGGAAGCTTCTAAGTGTGCAGCTGCTGCTGATAATGGTGTGAGTGTTGCAGATCACCTGGATGGTATTGTGGTGACATTGTTTCCACCATGGTGAAGCATTAGAACTTCTGGAGCCTACTTGATCAGAGACTGTTGAGGAGCAGAGGGGGAGACTGCTCCCATGAATGCTGTGCAGGTGTGTCACTACACAGAGGTGTCTATCTGGGACAACGGGGCAAGCGGCCTACTTAAGAGAGAGTGCTAGTGAAGATGACAAGTGCAGTACACCTGTGGGTGATATTGAAAAGATGAATGGTTCTCTTACATTCTCTGTTTTATTTCACAACATCATTAAATATAACATGCTTTGTGTGCTGTTATCTAGACTTCTTTTTCAATCTACATAATGGGAATGTGTTTCTACCATAAATTCAAGCTTAATTGGGTAGAAGTTATTTTCCAGGTTTAGTTCACTTTTGTTAAGCTTTTCATTTATTTTCTTTCTTTGAGAATGATGCAAAATAGCTTTTGCAGACTGCACAGCAAAAAAAAAAAAAATTAAAAAAATAAATGAAAGCTTTGCTTATGAATTTTTTTCCCTCCAAAACAGCCCCCTTCCACGTTTGAAGTACTGCTTCTAGTAGCTGCTGCAGATTTGCTCTATGTAGATGCAGCAGGACAAATACATTCCTACATGTGTGAAAAAATGCAGACCATATTCTCGTTCTTCTCAGAGGTTATGGTGTATATATACTTTAACTGGGCCAAGGAAACTACTTAATAAATCTCCAAATAATGCCAATGTAAACAGGTTATTTTTGAATGGAAAATATTTCTGGGTTTCCAGGACAAGGAGAATGCTGTGTGCATTGAATTCTACTACTTGTGTGCACTTGTTTTTTCTTTCTTTTTTTAATTTGGAGTTACCATGAAGCTTTTGTGGGCGAGACATGCTTACTTCTTTACCATCACTCCCACCAATTTAATCTGGGAGGGAAGTAAGTGGCAAAGAATGAAAGGAAGTTGTAGTGGATCCAAAAACTGATCTTTGAAAGAAGCATTCAAATTGTTTGAGTTTACTTATTATCTGTTGCAAGATGTCTGATCTCTTGTGTTCGCTGTTCCTATCAAATCTGCAGTTTAGTTAAAGCATGAGTCCACGATGTATGCTATGTTTTAGTTTTCACATTGGCATTGTACTCATATTCCTTTATTCAAGTTTTTGTTAGTAGCTTTGGATTTCTTTTATTTGTGCAAGGCTTCCAACTTAATACAACATATAACTTTGTTATAAAGAAAGGGTCAACTATAAAAAATAAAATCAGTTACAAATATAGAGAAGGGCTGGCCATGCGCTGTTGTGAACAGTTTACCAACTGAGGCACAAATTACACTTGACTGCTTGAGCATAAATTGATTGCGAATCCCTGCAACAACAGTGTAGTCTTCTGATGTGAATTCTGTAGCAGTTCCCAAAACAGAGGTAGGAGAACTCCAAGTGGAATTGAAGTCCAGATGAAATCCAGTTGAAAAAGTCAACAGCTGTGGGACTGACAATCCAGAAAGAGCAGTTACTAGCAACTACTGAAATAGAAAATGTACTGCGTTGTTGTCATAAAAACACTTTGCCACAGTACACTTTGCTGTGGTAAGTCCTATTGTGGGAACAGAAAGTAACCGAAGAACGAATATGTCATAGATTTTGAATTAGAATATAACTGAGTGTTTTCATGTGATCTGAAGATCACAATTTATTGCACTGCTGGAAGCTGCGCCTCCAAAAACATCTTCCACTGCAGAAGATCATGTGCCCTTGTTCTTGTTGATTTAACTGCCACCCAGCTTGCTTTGGAGGACTAACTTTTTTGTAGGGTTGACAAGAGCCCACTGATTCTTTATCTCCTATTTCTGAGGGTACACGATGAGCTGTTCTCATGCTCCTGACGTTTCTAGAACAGAATAACAGAATGGCCTGGGTTGGAAGGGATCTCAAGGATCATGAATCTCCAACCCCCCTGCCACAGGCAGGGCCACCAACCTCCCCATTTAATACCAGACCAGGCTGCCCAGGGCCCCAGGCTGCTCTGGGCGATTTTGTGAACTGAACAGACAATTTTGTGAATGTGTTCTTGTGTTATCAATACAAATCACCGTTAGTGATGAAGTTGGCTGCAAGCCTGCATCAATTCAGGTACTTGGCTGCATTTTGTATTTAGTTCTGTAGTGAATGTGAAAGTTCTAGCTGACCTGCACTTCTGTCCCTCTTGCCTTGCTGCTGAGAATCTCTGCAGATTTTAATTGTTCACATTTTGCTGCTATTTACTTTGGAAGATAAAATATTTACAGAATGATTATGAAACTTTTGTTCATTTAAAAATATTCCTGGTCAGTATGACCGGAGCTGAAAAGGACACATTGATCCTGTGACTTCAATAAATACATAGATTCCGTATGTTGTTTCTCAGTAGCCTGGTTAAATCATGCGTGTCGGTGCACATATGAATACATAAATAGCAAAGGTTTATCTAGCTTAGTCTCTGGCCTACAGAAATGGCCATAAACCAAAGCTGAGGGAAGAGGGAGAGCACAGTCAATGTAGGTGACACTGACTGCTAATTGGGTTATTATCAGCTAGATAACAACTTGGGTCAGATGCCAGGTCAACATAACCTGGGCGAAACCAATCTCATCTGTGGCAGGACCATGTATCAGCAGCCAGCCATGACCCAATCTAGGAAAGCAAGTAACGCATCTATTTTAAATTTATTGTAAATGCTGAAGTAGGACTGTTTTACGGTGAAACATTGAAACTTCTGCTCAATCAGACAAAGGTTTTTTATCGGAGATGCCAAAGTAATACTTGATTTTCTTTACTCCCTGTGAAGAGAAGTTATGATTGCAGAAAGAGAAGTGTTTACATAAACTGATAAAAAACTTGAGAATTCAGCAGAAAACAGCCACGTGTTCCTGAACATTCTTCCATAAAAGTCTCGCCGTGCCTGGCAGAGCCCTATTCACCTTCGCTATGAGGGGGATCATACTAGCACTAGTGCTCACCCTTGTGGGTAAGCTTATGCATCCCTTCTTCATTCTTCTTCCCTGGTATTTCCTTGAGTTCACTGACAACAACTGGGTTTAGACCAGATATAACTCGTGGTTTTTCTATTTCTTTTTGTAGGCAGCCAGAAGTTAGACATTGGTAAGTACATTTTTACCTATCAATTTGGTGACTTTGTTATATGTCTATTCATTAGAATATGCTTACAGCTTTTGTATAAATGGCTGTTATTCCCCACAGACCCAGGATTCAGTAGCAGGA